TGTGTTTCCCATTGCTTGGGTAGATGAGAGCTTGCTGAACTTGAACTTTGAATAAATCCAGGGTTAACTGGCCTAGAAACATTAGAACACCACTCTGTTTTTCTCCCAAGCAAGCATGGTAATGGCTGCTGCTTTGAGAAAACAATAGGTCAAAGCAGAGGCCCAACCTCTTGGCTGAGGCAGAGATGAAGTGAAGGAGATAGAGTCTTAATTCTGTAGATGCTGGGAAGCAAAAATCAAGCCCCAAAACAAACAAATCCACAAAAGCTGTGAGACAGAAGTTTGCTGTTACCCGAGAGGCCAAATGGAAAGTCCAACGTTACGAGGGGAATACACTGGCTTGGATGTAGTTTGAGTGTTTCCCCTAAAGGTTCACCTTTTTGAAAAGTGGTCTCTAGTGTGGTGGTGTTGAGAAGGTGGGATCCTTAAGAGACAGGGCCTAGGGAAGGTGATTAGGTTGTGGACGTAGGGCACTATTAATGCTGGTCTCGTGGAATAAGTTAGTTTCATGATAGTGGGTTGTTATATAGGAAGGCCACTCCACATACTTGGCCCCTTCAAAACTCAACTATTTCTCCTTCAACTTTCCTATATTATAATATAATGCAGCCAGGAGATCCTTATCAGGATGCCAATGCCATGTATGAATCCTCTGGCCACCAGAATCATCAACCAAATCCATCTCTTTTCTTTATAAAGTATCCAGCCTCAGGTTTTTGTTACAGCAACAGAAAACAAACTAATATAGAGAAAGAAAGAAATGTACTGAAATGGATATAAAAACCCACCCTGGGCAAGACTAAGTATCTGAGAATGAAGCTGGGATCCATTCATTTGGTCTTGAATATTAATAGAAAAAGCCTGCCCTGGACAGGAGTCCTGGGCATATAACACAATGTCCTGGGAAAGGTCATGGTCTGTGGAGGCACCACTAATTCCATGGAAAATCTAGGAAGATGCAGGGACAAGATTGGAGAAATTCCTTCTTGTGGCATGGAGCCCAGAGGGCTCCAGGGAGATTATACTCCATCTGGGACTCACAGGGAGTTGGAGGCTGGGAGAGGGAAGGGCTGCCTTGGCCCTTGGGCCTTACTGTGCCCATATGGGGTCATCTCAGTCAACCCTGAGTTGAGTCTCTGCTGTCTGCTATTAGCATTCTCTGAAGATCTAAGGTAAAAGGTTAAGCAGAAGAAAAGGAAGGAGCTGGATTCTTGGAAGAGATCTGTGCTTCTCTGGGCTACCCAGAAGTCATGCTCCTCTGAGCAAACTCTGCTCTTTCCATTCCAGAGCTGGAACCATTAGATAAGGGCTTGCTTGTTACCCAGCATTAGCACCTAGTCACAAGGCAGTGCTTAAAGGAGGAAGCCGTGACCTTTCTGGGAGGCCACAGCATAAGGTAGTTGTTTTTCATTTTTGTAGAGATGAGATGTTTGAAGGTTTAAAAGCCCCAAGCAGTCCTGACATGAATGACCAGGACTTATTTTTGATGTGCTTGAACCGGGAGGCTGTCGCTGTCCATAACATTCCCAGCTTGTCTGAGATGTTTGGGATTTGGTGAGAAGCAATTAGGCCTCTGCAGAAGGGAAGAGGCTACCATGGTGTCTGACAAGCAGGCTCAGCTGGCCTCGTGTGTCCCCAGGGCGTGCTCAGGAAGAGCAGAAGGGCTGGCATTTCGACCTTTTCTGGGATCTCCTACAGAGAAAGATAGAGATGTAAAAATGACATGCTTAGCAGGAGAATTTTCCCTACTCTGCTAGATTCAACTCCTGTCTTTGTTTGACTTTTTTTCCCCCAACAAATGAACTTGACTTATAGAGGCCATGTCATTTTTCAGAAAGAAATGGACTGTGGGCTCCCCAGGGCAGAGCACGCCCTAGCAGGGAGGAGGAGAGGGCAGGCAGGATTTGTAGCAAGCCCGTCAGGCTGGAACTGTAGCTCTAGAAAGGAAAGAGCTTTCACACCTAAAGGGCACAAACCCAGCTTGGATGGTAGGAGAGGAGCACAGTCCACTCCCCCTTCATTCCAGCTGTGTGGACACCGACTTCTTCATACAGCCATCGCATCTACATCATGCCAGGGTTGCAGACTTCTTCTTACCAATTTGTGTCTGGTTTTGGTAGTTAGAAATGGTCTGAACTCTCACCCCAGCAGAGCTAGCCCTGTGGTTCTGCCAGCCATGTGCTAGCACGAGGCCCCCCCATGCAGAAGGGTTCTGCGTTTGGATTAATGCTCTGTTGTTTTTCTCCTGGAATTTTTCATTATTTTTGAACAGGAAATTCATCTTTTCATTTTGCCCTGGGCCCTGCAAATCATGTCAATGGCCAGGCACACCCTGTTTCTCTCCTTTCCTCTGAAAATCCCTCATTCTTCGGTCTCAACTTTAACATCCTTTCACAGGAAGATCCCAGCATCTGCACCGCTTATAATAGTGATGAATATAAGAAGGCCAATAGCAACTGAATCTTCTCTATGGGTCAAGTACTTAGCTAGGTGGGTTTTTTCTTTTTTTTGTGTGTGCATTATAATTATACGTAATCGTGGGATTTATGGTTACATATTTGTGCATGCACACAATATAACAACACAATTTGGGTCAATATTGTTCCTCAGTATTTCCCCCCACCCTCTCTTTTCCCCTTCCCTTGGTTGTTCCTCCTCCTCCCCCTCCTTCTCCTCCCCTCCCCCTCCTCCTCTCATAAGATTCCCCCACCTTTTTTTTTTTTTTTTAATTTTTTCTCTCTAGTTTCCACATAGAAGAGAAAACACATGACTTTCTGAGTTCGGCTTATTTAGCTTAACGTAATACTCTCAAATTCCATCCATATTCCTGCAAGTGACAAAATTGCATTCTTCTATACAATTGAATAAAACTCCATGGGTATGCATGTTTCTTTATCTGTTCCACCACCTAGGCTGGTTCCATAGTTTGGCTCTGTGAGTTGTGCTGCTAGAAACACGGGTATGTATATATCACTATAGTTTGATGACTTTAATTCTTCAGGATAAATACAAGGAGTGGTGTAGATGGGTCATATGGTGGTTCCATTCTTAGTCTTTGGAGAAGCCTCTTTATTGATTTCCATAGTGGTTGTACTAATTTACAATCCCACCAACAGTGTAAAGGTGTTCCTTCTTCTCTACATCCTCTCTAGCATTTATTATTGTCTGTGTTCTTGATGGCTGCCATTCTAAATGGAGTGAGATGAAATCTCAGTGTAGGTTTCACTTTCATTTCCCTAATTGTTGAACATTTTTTTCATATATCTGTTGACCATTTGGATGTCTTCTTTTGAGAAGTGCCTGTTGAGTTCCCATTTAATTGCTTATTTGCCTTTTTGGTGTTAAGTTTTTTGAGTTCTTTATATATTCTTGATATTAATTATCTGTCAGAAGAGTACCTAGCAAAGATTTTTCTCCCATTCTGTAGGCTCCCTCTTCACATTCTTAATTGTTTCCTCTGCTGTGTAGAAGCCTTTTAATTTGATGCCATTCCATGTTCATTTTTGGCCTTGTTTCCTGAGCTTTGGGGTCCTGTTGAGGCAGTTGTTGAGCTGGGTAGTTTGTATGGATTCTCTTACTTCATCCTCTCGACAACCCTACGGGCTAGGTGTTACTATTTTTTCCATTTTAAAGATGAGAAAACTGATAGCAGATCAGAGAGGCTTAATGTCTTACTAATCCAGCAGTAAGTGCTTCACCTGCATCGCATGTCACCATAATGATGTGACATCTGTCTCCTTCCCTAGACAACAAGTGACATGGGGTCAATAGCTTGCTTGTCCTCTGTTGTACCTGTCCCCTCTAGCACAGAGCTTGGCTAGGTACTGTATAGAAGCTGGGGGAGGAAAGTAACTGTCCCTTCCTCATATATGTCTGTATTTTCAAGGACATAGCCCAGACACAAGACAACAGGAGAACATTGAAAAAACTCTTTGAACAACCACCCCGGAGTTTGTTTTTAGACCATCCTCTGGGTGTGGAGTTTCCCTGGATTGGGTGTTGGGGGCATACCAGGGAGGAGAGGGTGCTGGCCTCTGTTCTGCCCTCGTGGGTTTGCAGTGTAGGGAGGGAGAGACATTAAGCAACTCCTCCTCTGACAAGGTCAGATTGTGCGTGTCAGAGTGCTGTGAGGTGGAGGTGCTCCCTTTGGATATCCTGCAGCTGGGAATGTGACTTGGTTTTGAGGTCAGGAAGGCTTGTTAGAGGAAGCAGAATAAGTGGAGGACTGAAGACAGGAAGGACAAGAGAAGGGAGCAGGGCCATCCCTTGCAGAGGGAATGGTCTGGGCAGAGACACCTGGAAGATACCGCGTGATTACTTCCAAGACTGAAAGGAGGTCAGGGGTGGGGAGAGGTGACCAGCCAGGGGCACTGCAGGCAGGGTTGGAACTTTGACTTCATCTTAACAGAAGTGGAGTTTTAAGCAGGGGAACGGCATGACTCATGTGTTGTAGAGGTCACTCTGGTGGCCATGTGCAGAATGCATCAATGGGCAGGGGCCAAGTGAATGCAAGATGGGCCATGCAGGTATAGGAACAGATTTCTTCTAAGTGTTTATTTATGGGTGACACACATTGAAGTACAAATTCCTTTGGATTCAAGGGAGCTCATCTGTGGTGAGAGGGAAGACCATTTCAGGAAGGTGCCAGTCTTGGGCGACTGTATGGCTGGTGTGCACATTCACTCTGTTCAGCCATGTTCTTCTCTAAGGGAGTGTTCCTGGAGTCAGTGCATGTGGAACACAGGGATTCTCTGGTGGCTGGCAGAGAGACATGCATGGTCACTTTCCAGCTACAAAATAAGCAGCAATACTCTGCTACCCTTAGAAATTCTGTCAAGAGCCCTGGAGGTCTAAGCTTTCAACCAGCTTTCCTGATGGATCTTGTGAATCTGCAGGTGGAGAGGGAGACTTGGGGACCTGGGAACTTGTCCAGAATTTTCTTTCTAAACTGGTGAAGTGTCCTGTTTTAAAATCCATTTCCTTTCCCCACAAACTTACAGGTACAAAGGATTTAAAGGCAACTGTTCCATGACCTTCATCGATCAGTTTAAAGCACTACACCAGTGTAACAAGTATTGTAAAATGCTGGGACTGAAATCCCTTCAAAACAACACCCAGAAACCCAAGAGGCCAAGCATCGGGAAAAGCAAAGTTCAGACAGCAGTGAAGAAGCCAGAGCCCGGGACCCCAGCAGAAAAGAAAACCTAGCACCCCTCAGTAGCGGGGGCCTCCAGCCAGCAGCACACGGGCTTGGGAGTGAAAATCACCCACACAGGAGACTCCTTGCAGAGTGTGTGGCCGTCCTTACTTCCACCAGAATCTGCCCCAAGATGCTTCTATACCAGTCACCTGCCGTCTGCTAAAGTGATTTTGGGACAGATTTGTGACCAGACTCGTGGAGAGACTACATCAGTCGTCAGCGTCAAAGGCAGTCTGCTCTCTGTACACACAGCATGTTGGCACCAACTTGGTGTCACGTACCTCTTTGTCTATTTGCACGTGGTTTTGTTGTCAAAGACTTGGTGCTGAGCAGGGTCCGTTCCAAGCCCCAATGCTTCTCGTCCCTGCCTAATCGGGGTTTCCAGACATATCTAGCTGTGATGGGAACAGAATCATGAATGTCAAGTTGCTGCACCAGTGTCCACGATGCTGCTGCTGCTGTGGGTGGTGGCTTCTGGAACACAAGGCCACTTCCCACCTTGTTCACACAGCCAGTGACAATTTTCTGTTTTGACAAATTCACGTTTAAACAAAAAGCGTAAGCTGCATATGTCATCATAGACACTTGTTCTTTGGAATTTGTGCCGTATTTCACATTCCCCCAGGACTTAGTCATTTAGTCATTTCCTAATAGATTTGCTGGAGCACAAAATATTCGTGTCTGTGTTTTCCCTTGTTCTTACATTGCAATTTAGGTTCCGTCACTTTCTACTCGGCTCCTTAACTCTGGTCTCCCTAAACCCCGGACTGACTCACAGCGTGTTGCAGGGGAAGGCAGGGGCTGATCCTGGCCTGAGCTCACAGGGATCCTGCCCTCCCCGACTGCGTGCTGTCTCCTTCCCTATGTATTCCTATATAACATTCTGGGAAAAGCAAAAACTGGAGGGGAACATGTGTGCAGTCCTCTTACAGGGGCAGTTGGCCTTCACTAGAGAACTCTTGACTTCTTTAGCTTTAAAATAATTTCCTCAAGCTAGGGATTTTGTTAAAAAAGACAGCATAGTTGATATTTTTGTTTAAAGAGGAATTTGAGCCAGCGCAGTGGTACATGCTTGTAATCCCAGTGGCTGGGAAGGCTGAGACAGGAGGATCATGAGTTCAAAGCCAGCCTCAGCAAAAGCGAGGCACTTAGCAACTCAGTGAGACCTTATCTCTAAATAAAATACAAAATAGAGCTGGGGATGTGGCTCAGTGGTTGAGTGCCACGGAGTTTAATCTCTAGTACCAAAAAAAGGAATTTGAAGAAGAAACCCTTGTCAGTTATAGTTCATATTTTTTCAGAAAATTTACCCATTTCCAGCCTTTCTATGAGCTGACCTTTTGCTTGCTATTCCCATAAAGATCATATGGATGCATTTAATAGTAGAGTTCTAGAAAGTTCCTTAAAAGTAAACAAAAATAGCACGTTTTGGTTCTCTATCCATCCGTCCATCCATCCATTTATCCACCTGCCTATCATCTATCTATATATGTACAACCAGACCCTTCTTGACAGACCAGACAGTTTTTGGTAATAATTTATAGTTCTATGTTTAAAAAAAATCAGCACAAGTATGGGAAGGTATAAAATGAAGAGCAAAATCACCCTGGCACCCTCCTCCCCTAGCTGGCTTTGAATCCTGACTTGGAGAGGACAGTTGGAGGTAAAGGATTTTCTGCTCCCAGATTTTGTGCATTTGCAGTCAGTGCACGGTGTGCTTCTCCTGGATCTGGATGTCCCTGCTCCTTTCACAGATGCATAGGTTTTTTTTTTTTTTTTTCCAAAGTGCCTGTATTGTTGACCATAATCTGATTTCATCTGTTTACAGACATTTGGAGGCTCAGAGACAGAAGGGGCTCTGCAGTGGGATTCGATCCAGCCAAGGCTCTTGGGGATGGTCCTGTGTAGCTGTGTGACCATCTGTCTGCCACCCAAGCCCTTATGTCCTGAAACAAAGTTCTGTTTCCTTACACAGTGAACAGGGTGAGCATGGAACGGGCTCTCCTATACTAAAGATGGGGTTCTAGGGCCTCATAAATGTCCATCCACCACTGTGGTGGTTTTGGTTCAGTTTGCAACCCATCTGGTTTCAGTGGATTCTCCCACTGGTCTCCATAAGGGTGCAGCGTTAGAAAGACTCCAAATACAATGCCTCCTCAGCCGAGCCCTGAGCTAGGAGGGCACAGTGGGTTCAGCTGGGGATTTTGTACCTTCTGATGCCTGCAGGGTGGTCACATATGTACATGTCTCAGTTTCCTGATGGGCTCGACAATGCAGATCTGTGATGGGCAGATCACAAAAACGAATGAAAGATTCATGAAAATGGGCCTGTGTTTTCAATGGCAGGTTTGCCACTAATTAGAATGGCAGGCACACGATGACTTCTTGCCAGTAGGCATGGTGTTCTGGAGAGGTCTAGCGTTGGATGTGTGCAGGGCTGGCTTGTATTAATATTTCATGGTATCTCATTGTCCCGGCCTTCCCAGCCGTGTTTCTGACAAGCCTCATAAAAGCAAAGGGTTTCAACAGAGTCGTATTAAAAAGAATGCCAAAATAAGTAACCATTATTTTCTAATTACAAAGCACTCTCCTTTCTAAATATACATCCTGCTTTGTGTGTGTTGGGCTTGTGTTCAACTGGAGGCAGATGGGAGGGGCTTGCACCAGCCCGGTGCCTGCTAGTTTTCTCTGTGTACGTTCTGCTCTGGGGGGACCATGTGTGCCAAATGGAACAGAGCAGCCTTTCTCTGCCATTTAGATCTGCAGATGCCACTTGGGCTTAACTAGTTTTAAAAAAAAAAAATTTAAAGAGGCATAAAACCCTTGTCTGTCTCCCAGTACATGATTTAGTTTCCACCTGTTTGCCAAAATCCAGGCAGATCTGAAATCACTGAGAGTCTCCTTATTCTGAGGTGATTTTTAAAAGCTGAAAACCAAGACAGAGGCCAATTTCATCCATAGGATTGTGTGGGCCCAGCCTTCAATTTTATGATGTGATATGCAAATATTTATAGGAATTAATTATGTCAATTGATCAAGTTTTTTTCTTTTTATTTTGCTTTTCATGAGAGGCCCAAATAGTCTTGGATAGATTAATCATCTCAGAGACTTTTTTTTCCACCTCAAGAAAAGCCAGTCTTTTGGGCTGGGGTTGTGGCTCAGTGGTAGAGCGCTTGCCTCGCATGTGTAAGACACTGGGTTCAATTCTCAGCACCACATATAAATAAATGAATAAAGGTTCATTAACAACTGAAAAAAAATTATTAAAAAAAAGAAAAGCCAGTGTTTCAACTTTGTTTTTTTTTTTTTTTTTGTACTGTGTATTGAACCTAGGGGCACTTAACTCTGAGCCACATTCCCAACCCTTTTTTATATTTTATTTAGAGACAGGGTCTTGCTGAGTTGCTTAAGGCCTTGCTAAGTTGCTGAGGCTGACCTTGAACTCACAGACTCCTGCCTCGGCCTCCCAAGCTACTGGGATTACAGGCATGCACCACCACACCCAGCAGTCTTTCGGCTTTCTGTTTCATGGCCCAGAAGTATCAGAAGCAACTCTGCTAGGGAGATCCCTCCTCCATCCCCCTCCATCCCATTATCTCCCCTCTGATGATACCTGCATGGAATGGCAGGTAGTGGCTTGTGGTTTTGCTGTTGTGAGCCATTCCAGGACTGTTTCCAGGCAGGAACAAAGTGCCACAACTCTTAGGAGATTTAGCAACTGAAATTTATGGTCTCAGTTGGGCTGAAGTCCTGGATAGAGGTGTGAGAGGCTCTTCTCTAGGCCTGTCTCCTGGTCTCTGGTAGTCTTGTGGCCAGTGGTAGCTTAACTTGTCCTCACATATGTTCTCCCTGCGTCTGTCCCAATTTCCCATTCTATGTGGACCCCAGCCATATTGGATTAGGGTCCACCTTAATGACCTCAGCCTAACTTGGCAAAAGAGCATCTCTTCAAATAATATTGTATTCTGAGGTACTCGGGGGGAAGCAATTCAATCCTCATCTTTCACCTCTACATGCACTTCTGGCCAGTCTGATCAGGCTCAGGTGCAGGTGGCAGTAAGTAGAGATGGTGTCTGCCAATCCCTTCATTGACCCTCTTTCCTGGCCTCGTGGTGGTCCTGAGGTTCCTGTTGTAGAGTTTTAGGGAAATCTCTCCCCTCTATGCATTGCTGTAGCACACCTGCTCCACATGCCAGCGCCTGGGCCAACACCCAGGCTGCCTTCTCCCTGTCCAGCCCTCTTGCAGAGTGACCTCAACGGTCTCATGGAAAAATCTGTCCCAAGAGCTCTCTGCCAATAAAATTGTACCATGATCTTGCAGTCAATTCCGTGTTAGTAATAAGAGGCTGCTTTTGTTCTTAGAGCCTCCAGTGGCTTTCTGTCTCCCTCAGAGCAAAAGCCACGCTCCTCACACAGGTCAATGGGACCCTCCCCGATCTCCCAAATACCTCCCACCTCATCTCACTGATGCTTTGCTCAGCGCCAGCAACACTGGTCTTCATGCTCTCTTTTGAGCTCCCCAGCCTTGGGCGGGGGGTGGGGGGGTGGGGTGGGGTGGGTTGCGTTTTCTGTATCTTCTGGAATGTGCCTCTCAAGTATCTGCTCATAGGCCACTTTCTCAGACAGTTCTTCCCTGACCATCCTATTTAAGATTGCAGGCCCCTCCCCCAGCTCCTCTTACCTCTTCTCTGCTTTGTGCCTTGTCATCGCCATGGGACCAGCAGAGAGAAGAAAGAAAGGGGGCCCATATGGGGAGACTCTCAGGAGATCCCCCAGGGAGGAATTCTCAGAAACAAGGACACAAGGAGGTGTTCCACCAGGAAGGAAGGAGGAGTAGGCTAGGGTTGGCTCCAGGTAGCCTTTGCTGGCTGGCCAGGGATCTTGGCCTGTTTATGTGGGCTTCGTGGGTACTGGGGCCTTAGTTGTGCACATGGGCTGAGCTGCTGGAACCTGGAGACTGCTTGCCTTGTGGCAATCGAAGGGAGGAGCAGAGACTGGGCCCCTGACCACCTGAGGCATCTCTGAGCCAGCAAGGCACCATCTCCAGGGGGGGCTCCGAAGCACGTCAGGGGAGCTAGAGTGACCCAATGCCATGAACTGAAGTTTGAGTTTATCCAAGTTCATTTGCTGAGATCCTAACCCCCACGATCATGGTATTAGGAGGTGGAGCCTTTGGGAGATGATTAGGACCTAAGGGTGGAGCCCTCATGCATGGGATTAGGGCCTCATAAAAGAGGCTCCAGAGAGACCCCTTGTATTTTCCACCACATGAGCTTAAACATTGAGAAGACACCATCTACAAATCAGGAAGTGGGACACTGCTGACTCCATCTCGGACTTCCAGCCATAGACTTGTGTTTATAAGCCACCTAGTCCAGGATGTTTTGTTATAGCAGCCTGAGTGAACTAAGACACCCAGAGACAGAGGGAAGAAGAACAATGTGCAAAGCAAACTAGGCGGATCCATTTCAGCATCCAGAAACTTCTTTTTTGAGGCAGTTCCTACATTGACTGAGAGTGCAATGGGGCGGGGGGGGGGGGGGGGTAGGGAAGGCCTGGCAGTTCCGGTCAGGCAGATGGATTTCAAGAGTAGGAACCAAATGTTTGCAAGTAGCCCCAGATATTTCTCAGAATCAACAGACATCAGAAAATTTGTCCCTCAGTAATTAGTT